GCTGTCAACACGGTTTTACACTTACATTTGCCTCCTGTAAAACTGCGAAAAACAAGGGGCCTCATGAAAATGTTTATTTATCAAGTTAAAGAGTCAGTACTGAGGATGTGTGTGACTTACTTTCAGGGACATCGCTTGTCACTTGAGCTGAAGTAATGGAGAAGATGAATAATGTGACAGAATTCATCCTCTTGGGCCTGACCCAGAATGGGAAGCTTCAGAAGGTTTCTTTTGTTGTGTTTCTAATTGTCTACTTGTTCACCCTGGCAGGGAACCTGCTCATCATGATCACCATAAACACCAACAGGGCTTTAGGATCCCCTATGTACTTTTTCCTGTCTTACTTATCCCTTATAGATAACTGCTGTTCTTCATCCATGACCCCCAAAATGCTAGCTGACACTCTTGCTGTCAGAAAAACCATCTCTTTCAGGGGTTGTATGACTCAAGTCTTTGCTGAACACCTTTTTGGTGCTGCTGAGATCATCTTACTGACTGTGATGGCCTATGACCGCTATGTGGCCATCTGTAAACCCCTGCACTACTCAACCATCATGAACCACAGGCTGTGCATTCTCCTAGTGGGAGTGGCCTGGGCTGGAGGATTTGTCCATGCAACCATTCAGATCCTCTTCACAGTCTGGCTGCCCTTCTGTGGTCCCAATATCATAAACCACTTTATGTGTGACTTGAATCCTTTGTTGAAACTTGCTTGCATGGACACTCAAACCATTGGTCTCTTTGTTGCTGCCAACAGTGGATTCATATGCTTGTTAAACTTCATCCTCTTAATGGTCTCCTATGTGGTCATCCTTTACTCCCTAAGGGCCCACAGCTCAGAGGGGAGGCACAAAGCCCTCTCCACCTGTGTCTCTCACATAGCAGTGGTCATATTATTCTTTGTCCCATGCATATTTGTGTATCTGCGTCCAGTGACTACCTTCTCCACTGATAAAGCCATAGCTGTATTTTATACCATGATTACTCCCATGTTAAATCCATTAATCTACACCCTTAGAAACACAGAAATGAAAAATGCTATGAAGAAGCTCTGGGGTCAAAACAAAGTTTCAAATGAGAAACAATCATACCAATTTAAAAAGACTTTATTTTTTAAATGGTGACGAGAAAATTTGTACGGCTCAAGTACTAATGAACACTGTTTTCCAAAATTAGTTTGGTATCAGCATATAGGACCTTTGAGAAAAAGTCATTATAAGAATATTCCATTTAGACCTATATGTTGCCTGTTTGGTTGTAGATCTTTAGAAGCCTGAATCAGTTAGGTCTTGTTAGGAGCCATGTTCACAGGACATGGCTCTAGATATTCTAATTTAGTGGACTATTTTTGCGTTTACAACAATAGTTAAAGTTTAGATTTTAAACAAATTTCCAAGGTATTTCTGAAGCAGGGGATCTACATACACACTTTGAACAACAGTGCTACATAAAAATCAAAACCTCAGACATTAATGAGGTGACTTTTAAGGGAATTTCCTGGGAGAATAGAAGCTATGAGAACTCTCAAATCTTCATAAATCATGTAGTGAACACTTAATACTTTGTCAGCTGTGAAACAAAAATGAAATATCCAGGGTAAATAGGAATGCTTTAGTATTTATTTTATATCTTCTGTTTCTGAAGAACTTCTGTCTTAGCAAGTCTAATTTTCACTTGTTTTTTCTTTGATAGCTCTAAAGGCAAGTTTTATCACTTATTATTGCTTCATTATTTAATGAAAACTTATTGCTGATAGAATTGTAACGAATCGTTTACATCTAAAAAGTAAAGAGCTTTTTCCCCATAGTGTTGCTGAGTGAGGGTTTTTTTTGTATTATTTTTTTGCATGCAATAATACATGTAATTCTGGGTAAAAGGGAATTTTATGTCATAATGTTAGCATGGCTTAAGAGCCTAATCTTTGAGTAAGACAAGCTTAGTTCAAATGTTAGTTTTTTCAATTACAGCATGCACTTTGATAAAACATGGCTTTTTAAGCTTTCAATTAGTAGAGGATGAGAGGTATTATCAGGATAAAATAAAATAAACCATGTGCAGCTCTTTGTAGGCACTAAGTGCTAATACATGCAGATGTTTTTACAACCATTCTTTATTACTGGATTATCTCAAATTTTAGCAGAACTACTGCACTGTGTAGGATAAGCACTAAACGGCTCATGGTAAGGTTGTTGGTTCAAATCCATTCCTTGGAAACTTCATACAAGGTCACTATTAGTTGGGACAGACTTCTTGGCACTTACCAACAATAACAACTCTTTGGTCCTAAGAACAATTCTAATTTTCTTTGAGTTTTAGAAGATGCAATTCATTTTTAATCTGTGCCTGATACAAAGAATACTCTTACAGTTTAATTGATCAAGCAATAATTTTTGGGTCCTGCAACAAGATCCAGCTTCCTAAGACACTCTGGAAGCTCTGTCTCATGGTTTTCTAATGCACATTGGCCTCCATTTGTGGGTCTAATGGTCTCCTTTTAAAGGCCAAGGAATCTCTTGATATGAATGTGAAATCTACACAGTAGGCAACCAGAATATGAACAGATTTTAAATGGAGATGTTTGTACAGAAAAGGTAGTGTGTGTAGTGGTTAGGAACACTCAAGTGAGAAAACTCAAGCCAGGTTTTCCTGGTTACAGTGTGACCTGAATAAGTTATTTGACTTTCTATGCTATATTTTCTTTATTATGAAATAATAATAATAGTACCTAGCTCATAAATGGTTGGGCAAACCAAATGGTTTATACTAAGTACTTTTAACAATGTAACATAGAACTTTTTTAAAAAAACATTTTTAAAATATGGTTGTTTGTTCTAAGAACTGTGCATCTCCCAGGTGTAGTTCACCTTACTGACCTATCTATTGTTTGGCCAAAAGTTGAGCTATGGTGGTGAGTTTAGCTCCAGGCTTAAAAGGTGTCCAAAGGCTATCTTAGACTTGGAGGTTTTATTAACCTCTTTGAGAATACCTGATAAAGTCTTGCTATCCTCACTTCTAAGAGCACTCTGGTGGTATGTCTTCCATGACAGATTTGTTCCTTCTACTGCTGGTTCATGGTCATTCCAATATTATTCAACAACGCCATTATTCAAATGCTTCAGTTCTTATACGATCTTCCTTGTTTTTGTGGACTATTTTATGCCAACTCACTTCAGTGACCCCAAGACTAATACTCTGAGCCCGAAGTCCCAGCAACTCAAACTCTTAAGGAGTTTTGCTATGTCTAAGATGTTTTCATAACTTTGCTTCCTGTATGCTATTATCTGTCAACAAAAGTAACTTTATATTTAATATTTTTGTTTAATATCAAAGTTTCTATGATTTTGTAGCAATACTTGTAATTTACCCTCGTGTGTATTGCTAGACCATATGATATTTCTATTTCTAAGTTTTTAAGGTATATTACCATACTGTTTTTCATAGTGGTTGAATCATTGTTAGGCACCCTAGCAAAGTATGAGGTTTTTATAAACCACCATTTGTTCTTTTCTGCGTTTTTGTTTTGTTTTTTTGATGAGTGCCATTATCATCAGAGTGAGACGGCATCTCATTGTAGAAGTGATTTGATTTGACTCCAAACACTTCTTTATGTGTTTGTTAATCTCCTGAATGTCTTTTTTGATGAGTGTTTATTCATATTCTCTGCCCATTCTAAAATTAGATTACTTGTCTTTTATTGTTGAGGCATTGAATATTCTATAAATTTTAGAGATGTCATATAAGTCATTGACAAAAAGTTTTTCCCAGCCTATAGGAGTCCTGGTGTGGTGCTGTATGAGAAGCACTGGAATGCTAACCAAAAGGTCAATTCCTCAAACCCCCAGCAACGATTCAGAAATCCTATGAAGGGTTGCTACATGTTGGAACTTGGAACTGAATTGAGGGGACCAAAGGAGTTCTGGCAGCATAGTGGTTATGAATCGGGCTGCGAACCGCAAGGTCAGCAGTTCAAAACTACCAGCTGCTCCATGGGAGAAAGATGAGGCTTTCTACTCCCATAAAGATTTACAGCCTCGGAAACCCTGTTCAGTGTCGCTATGGGTTGGAACCGACTCGAAGGCACTTAATAACAACAACAAGCAGCAACAGCACATTCTCTTTTTACTCTTTTGATGAAATCTTTTGATGCACACAAGTGTCTTAATATTTAGGAGGTTTCAGTGTACTAGTGTGTCACACCCAGAGTTCTGGTGTGGCAATGTGGGTTAATGTGCTGGACTGCAAATTCTGTTTTAAATGCAAAGATGGTGGTTCAGCTCACCAGCCACTTCTCAGAAATCCTATACAGGGTTGTTATGAGTTGTAAATGCCTTGGTGGCACTTAACCACAACAATAAGTGACCTAGTATATTTCTGCTGTTTGAATGCTTTTAGTTATGTTTGATAGTGTGTTTATGCAATGAATTGTGCGCCTTAAGTTTTCCCCTTTTTATTTTTGGATGATCATTATTGTTTTACATTTTCAATAATTTTCATCAATACCATAATTTAAATGCATCCATTTTTCTCTGGTCTTACTTCGTCTTTGTCCAACTTTCACATGCATATCAGATGATTGAAAATATCTTGGATCGGGTCAGGTACCTTAGTCCTTAAAGTGATCTTTGCTCTTTGACACTTTAAAGAAGTCTTTTGTAGAAGATTTACCAAAAACAATACATCCTTTGATTTTAATGCTTCCATGAGTATTGATTATGGAGCCAAGTTAAATGAAATCCCTGACAACTTCAAACTTTTCTTCACCTGTCATGTTGTTGTCTGTTGGTCCAGTTGTGAAGATTTTTATTTTGTTTGTACTGAGGTGTAATACACACTGAAGGCTGTGGGGTGGGTTTTTTTTTTTTTTGTTGTTGTTGTTGTTGTTGTTTGTTTTAATCTTTATCTGCAAGAATTTCAAGGATGTTTGTGTTATCTGCATATCACAGGTTGTTAATGAGCCTTTCTCCAATCCTAACGCCACATTTGTCTTCATATAGTTCAGTTTTCCAGATTATTTGCTAAGCACAAAGCTTGAAAAAATTCAGTGGAAGGATACAGTCCTGATGTATACCACTCTTGGTTTCAAATCTTAAATATCCCCCTTTTTCTGTTCTGACAACTGTCTATTGGTCTTTATACAGGTTCCACAGGAACATAATCAAGTTCTGGAATTCCCATTCTTCTCAGTGTAATCCATAGTTTGTTATGATCCACACAGTCAAACACAAGTAATCAATAAAACACAAATACATATATTTCTGGTATTCTCTCTTTTCAGCCAAGATCCATGTGATATTGATATTCATTGCTCCACTTCTTCTTCTGAATCTGACTTGATTCTAAATTCTGGCAGCTACTTGCTGGTGAATTTTTGCAACTAATTTTGAGTTATCTTCAGTCATATTTTACTTTTGTGTGATATTAAAATTTTTTGACAATTTCTGCATTTTATAGTGTCACCTTTCTTTTGCATGGACATAAATATGGATCTCTTCAAGTTGATTTGACAGATATCTAGCTTCCAAATTTTGTGGCATAGTGTAGTGTGTTCTTCCAGTTCTGAATCAGTTCATCAATTTCTGGAAACTTGCTTTTGATAATGCTTTCAGTGTAGCTTGAGTCTTTTTCTTCAAGTATCATCAATTCTTGATCAGATACTGTGTCCTAAAATGGTTGGACACCAACCATTCCTTTTTGGTACAACAACTCTCTATTTTTGTTTTGATGTTACCTGTATTGTTCAATATTTTCCCCATGGAATCCTTCAATGTTACAACTTGAAGCTTGACTTTTTTCTTCAGTTCTCTCAGCTTGAGAAATGCTACATGTGTTCTTTTGCTACGGTTTTCTATCTTCATCTACTTGCATATTTAATTATAATATTTTATTTTGTCTTCTCAAGTGACCCTTTGCAATTTACTGTTCAAATCCTGCTCCATCATGTCTTCCATTCACCTATGCTACTCTCTATTGAAGAGCAAGTTGCAGAGTTTATTCAGACATCTATTTTGGTCTTTTATTTTTTTTTACTGTCACTTTAATGACCTTTTGATTTATTCATGTACGGTGTTCTTGATATCATTCCACAGTTTCTATGATCTTTGGTCATTAGTGTTCAGTGCATCAA